CCCTTTCAAAAAGTCACATTTTGTGGCTGGTGAACATCTCTACACTCGTCACGGGGTGTTTCCCAGCCGTCAGCCCCTACATTCTCCTGAGTCTGGACTCCAGAGCACACTGGCTCTGCTGTGCTTGGCTAAGGACGGCAAAATCACCTCCTCTCATAGGGAGTATGTAAACTGTGTGTATGCTCACAGCGTTGGCTGTTTATTAATCCCTTTCAGACTTTAGGCCCACTTATGAAACAGTGGCATCACAAGAGGGTAATTAAGACTGTTGAACTGCTTCAGTAAAAGGAAATCAACTGAACAGCAAGTATAAGTAAGCTATGGTTGTCATGTAGATATTTATGTTACTGAAAGGTCATTATTGGAGCAGTTGCAGTGGCCGGTTCAGTGTCTGTGTTTTTAAAAAGGAAGGTTCTTAAGCAATCTGTTGATCATTGAACAGTCATTAAGAATGTAACTTTCTTTTTACATGAATTAGGGCATGTGTACTTGCCAGAAAAAGACAGAGAAAGTGAGAAAGCACGCCCGGGGGGTGGGGGAGATGACCACACAGCAATCCCTTCTCCTCCTTTTTCTTCCCAGGATTTTGGGCAAGTACACACACACATTTGGCACATTTTTGAAGTCAATGTGTCCAGGACTCATACCACACGGTCTGCCACCTGGGATCTAGCGTCTAAACCTCCATATCATCTGCTGGCCCTAAATTCAATTTTCAAGAGTAAAGACATTGAAAGCTAAGTATGAATTTTGTACTTGACATTATCAGGGAGATGGTTATCAATTGAGTTAAAATATTCTGAACAGAGGATCGCGCATATAAAGTATTTTCATGTAGAGACAAAGTGAACTTAATGAGAACATAGGAAAGCACAAAACTATATTCTGATGACTTTTATATCAAATAGGATGCTTGGCCAGTTGTACAAAGTAAAACATCTTTTTTTTTTTTTTTTGAGGTAGATTGGCTTTTTTTTTAATTTTCTTTTTTTAAAATTTATATTATCATCATAATCTTCTTTATATTACATTGGATTACATATAACTTTACATTGACTTCCATTGCTTTTTCAAAAGGGAATGCCATGCATGTCGGTCAATACAGAGACATCAATCTCCCCGCTTTATCATTCAATGTCTTTTCCATGCATTTCCCAATAATTATTATTATTATAATTTTTTTAAAAACAGTCAGTCACTATTTCTCATTTTGCTTGTTGAAAGACTTCACCCATCATGAAATACTTCCCAGACCAGTCCAGTTGAGAATACTATACACGTCATCTTCAACAGATAATAAACCATATCTGTTTCTCACTAACATCCTCTCTATTGTTCACTTGCTATCTTTCTCTATCCTCTTCTCTCT